GTATCATCCTTCAACCCATGGATAAAGATGGATAGAAGGTAGTCTCTTTCCATTCCATGGTGAGGGCACATTCTTTGATATTCCTTGAAGCGTTCTCATGCATCATGGAGATTCTCCCCATCCTCTTGCACAAATGCATTGATCCGATTCCTCGCATGTTGAGTCTTGGTAGGGGAGTAGTATTGCATAAGGAATTGCTCTTCCATCTCACCCCATGTCGAGATAGAGTTTGGCTCAATGGTGTAGAGCCAATCTCTAGCTCTCTCCGTAAGTGAGTAGGGGAAAGTTTCAAGGAATACATCTTCAAGAGTAATCCCCGGTCCTTTCTTGATTGCCTTACAGTTCATCTTGAAATTCGTAAGGTGAGCGTTCGGGTCCTCGTTCGGTCTCCCACGGAAACTCATGTTGTTGAGCATTTGGATGCATTGCGGTAGGAGTTCAAGTTCTTCTAGTGGTCCCCGATTTATGCATGATAGTAGCTGGGTGAGCTTCGGTTGTGTGTACGTTCGAAGCGTTCTAGGGGCTGCTTGGGCTGGACCTCTTTGGGCATTGGCCCCTCTCAACAACTCTTCAGCCATCTCGGGTTGTTCTCTTCGTGCGTTGTTCTCCCTCAGCAACTCTTCGGCCATACCCCACTGTCTTCGCTGTCTCCGAATGAAGCGTACGGTTCTTTCTAATTTCGGGGTCGAAGATGAGTTGATCTCTATCGGTTGTACTTCTTGTCATACACTGGAAGAGCTGCACATCAAAGAAACAAAATGAAATGCAAGTGCTGTGAAAAGGTTATGTCACAAAGTAATCCAAGTAAAAATCCAAGTAATGGTGATCTAGCAAAAATCTAGACTAACACGAAAACGCCTAGTCCCCGGCAATGGCGCCAAAAACTTGATGCGCACGCACCGAGTCGTATATTTAATACCCGATTCGTACCACTATCCGCAAGTATACAGTAGTTGTAGTACCGGGGTCGATCGCGAGGACTAGGTTGTGTTAATCTATTCTTAAACTAGATCAAAGGTGATGGAAAATATTGATTACAAAGTGTTTGTGAAAATGTCGGAACACAAGAAAGCAAGTAAAATTAACGGGTTGTAAAACGATGGTTTGAGGCGTTGTAGGTTCGGGATCCCTCATGAATCGCATGGACGGTTAGTGATGCTACAATGTCTTGGTGTTTGTCTTCCAATTGGGGGTTTCAAGCACTTCCTCTAGAGTTTGTCTCTCCCGAGCTTAAACTCACTACCTAGAAAATCAATTCACCTATTTCCCAATGATCCAAATGATCTCTAGATGCATAAATATACCCTATCATGAACCCTAAGCAAGCTAAGCCATCTCCCAATGTGAATAACTCACTCATTTGACATTTGGTTCCAAACATCATTCCCATATCCCTATGATCAATGTGTTCTATGGTCATATCAATTAGGGTGTCATCCAAATAAACAACATTAAGCACAAAACATCAAACCCATGGAAGAAAACTCAAATACATCATAGATTAAGATTGGGTGTCCATAAAAAAGTGGAGATCCCTCACCCACAACAAAGGCACTACTCCATAACTAGGGTTTCAAAACAGAAAGCAAAATGAAGAAACATGGAAAAGGAGAAGAAATGCTCAAGATGGTCTTCAATGGTGGTCTTCTTCTTCTCCTAGCCTCCTTGATCTCCAAAATCCCTCTTTCCTCTCTTCCAAGTCAAGTCTCTCTCCAAAGTGTGTAGCCCCCCTTCTCTCTCCTCAAACTCCCCTTTTTATGAAAGTCTAGAATTAGGTTTTCTCCTCAAAACACGGGCTTTTCCTTTTTGGGCCGATTTTGATTCCAGGCGGTCGCTCATTTTTCAGGCGGGTCGCTCATTTTCCTCTGCACACGCGAAAAAGCGAGCGACCGCCCGTTTTTTGAACGACCGCTCACAAAATGAGCGACCGCCTATAAAATGGGCGGGCAGCTCATTTTCTCTGAGCTTCCCGAGCCTTCTCGAATTCTTGTTCTTCCGTGCCCGCTTCGTGAGGATTCATCGTGGAGTCTTCCTGCAAGGAAAAATAAGCAAAGCAACCTACCCATGGCCATCTAACATCCTATAATGCCTAAAATGTGAGAAGAATTGTAATGCATGATGTTCGAAAACCGGTGAAAACCCGTGTGATCAGATGTGACAATGTCAAACTGGACGTGATATAATGGGATGGATCCTGAATCGATAAGTGTACAAGAATGAGTTAAGGAACGAACAAGTAAAGGTCAACAAGATGATCCTTTACTCTTCGAGCACGCGGATCATATGATGATGGTAGAACATATCATACCACTAGGTATGAAACACTTTGAATGGAGGACCTATTATATATGCCAGTTAACCCAGACATGGACAAAAGGCATGAATGGTGGCGCACCGTCAAGGTTAATATCACACCCAGAACAGTAAGATATAACAAAAGGCCTGCCGAGACCCAGCTTGGTGAAAAAACCAAGACAAAAGTTACGTTTCTAATAATCTGCTTAACTGTCAGCAAATACAACAGGGTTACAAACGTCACGCGAGGAGCTACAACAAGAAGAAATTTCAAAAGGGAAATGAAATTCGACCGTTGTAGACTCTGTGGTTGCATTTCTCTCAACTTCTAGTAGAAAGGACCCAGTTGGATAGTCAAGGACTGATCAAATCCAAAACTCAGCTCATTTTGATCGAGCAGTCAGGGTGACACCGACAAGAATAACTGACGCTAGGTCTTTGAGGAGATGATATGATTATACGAGACCCTGAGAAGGGTTACCTCATACGAAAAATACCCAGTTTACATTTCGTCGACGGAAAAGAGATTCAAGGAGCAGCGGGAACATAACTCAAACACCAGTGTTGTATAACCATCACTCGAAGGACGACTAGATAGATCAAATTGCATAAGTGCCAGAAGACCCTGAGAGCATGTAAAAAAAAGGGGGGTTTAAAAAAAATTCTCATTCACTCAAGAAGATACAAAGTCTATTAAAATCCTACAGAGGACAACAAAGTTTCACGGAGGCAGTGATGGAGCCAAAGTGTTCCGCGAATTCAAGCCATGTGCGAGTCCACTAATTTTGGACAAAAACAAAATGGAGAGCGACGAGCTTTCGGAACCGAAAACCCATTGAGATAAAGGTAGAAGTGATCCAAAAGATTAACGATAACCTGAAAACGGCACAAGGGAGAAAGAAGTTGTATATTGATCAGAGGTGATGGGAGTTTACACTGGAGGTTAGAGACCGAGTATTTCTCCAAGTTCAGACCCTTAGGTTGGACATCTTGGGTTGCACTAGATTGTTAACACGGATGATTGAATGGTTATATGAGGATAAGAATGAGATAAGGTTTTTGAGGAGTGTCGTCTGAATTCTGAATTCGAGGACGAATTCTTTTTAAGAGGGGAGGATTTGTATACCCCGAATCCGGATTCGAATGTTTAATTAATTCTGAAAAAAAAAAGAATTAGACCGATGGGCCTTAAAAAAAACCTTAAAAATAGACATAAGGTACTGGGAAAAGGCTTGAGCATCACCACGTGCGAAAGAGACGAGAAAACGATGAAAAAGGGAAACAGGACGCCTGGACCGACCGGTCCAAGAGGCATACAGACCGGTCCAGTCCGACAAGCACATGTGCTATAATAACCCATGTCTGAAAATATAGAAATATGATAAACGATGATAATTTCATATTGAAAGATATATGGAATAAAAATCGAACTATATCAAGTTGAACCGAAAAAGTTCCACAAAATTCGTAATTGATACGATTCAAGTCTCATGAGCCTAAAATCCGTATTCTAAAATACGAGTATATCTTTGGGTTGTATAATCAATATGTGGCCATAGTAATTAAGAAATATACAAATAGATAAATAATTATATTTATAATTATAATTATAACAAATAAAATAATAATGATGGAAACAAGAACAACTCAACATGAGTTGATTTTTCTACTTAATCATTGTTCTTTTTTGATGACCCACCCACATGATCACCAACATAAAGAGTCTTACATGCATTATAAAATAAGAAGAAAAGGAAAACCCACACAATCATATGTCGGGAATGCCCAACTAAAGGTACGTAGGCCAAAGGAGCCACTTTGATTCCAACTAGAAGGCAATAATAACACCACTCCTACATTATTGGAGAGACACAGAAGGCTTCGACAATGGAGAAGAAAGAGAGAGAGATGTACCACCGGTGGAGGCGGAGAAAATGGGAAAGAAGAAAATGGAGTCGCATATATGGTTTAATGCAGTTTTGTCACCTTCAAATGGCACCATCAGATCCCTCTCTCATCTTCATTTTCTCCTTATCACTCCACCATTTTCGTCACAATAATGCTCAAAAAGTTCAAAGATTATTCTCTCACCATAACATGCTTATCGGTGGTGCAAAAACTCGGGTTTTCACTCTATTTTCGATTCCCTTTCATTTGATGGTAAGATCACTATATTTCGAGCTTAATTTACCTTCTTCAAGTCTCATACCTAACATTTTGTTCCCTGCATATCATTATCTCTTCAAAATTTAGGCTCCTAAGATTCCGTTTTAGTTATATTCGGAAGAAACAAACCTGAAACCACCATTTCAATCGAGGAAAGGGTAAATCCAACTCTTCAAGATTTTTATTTGTGAGGAATCAATGTTAAGCATTCATTCTAGATCAGTAAACCTTCATTTTTAATTTCATAGTCATTCCAAACTCAAACTATAAAAGAGAAATATGTGTGCAAGGGATTAAACATCGTTGTGTTAGCACCGAGAGATTGAACCCTTCTGATGTCTTTGGCCTCTTCAAATCTTGTTGTAAAGCTCATTCTAATCCTTATTAATCCATGTTACGTGATAAAAAAACCCTCTTGGAACAAAGAAACTCATCACCGAGACTTAAAAGCGATTTTAAGGTGAGTGGCTTGAGTTGCGTCTGTGTAAGCTCGTTTTCATCGATGTGATTGTGTTATCTCGATGATTCATTTGATTGCATCTGAAAGAGGACATTTTAATGAGAATTTAGAAACAAACGGTGCTCAATTGGGTTGAGAAAAGAAGGAGATATGAACAAACGAAAACTCTGGAAAATCTGAAAGTTTGCAGAATCGCGATTTTTAGAGGTATAGGCATTACGAATCGTTTTTCGTCGTGTATATGTGAGATTTAAATATGAAAAAGGACATCCCAATGAACATTTAGGAACAAACGGTGCGCGATTTGGTTAAGAAACGAGTGAGTTATGAGCAATCGAAGTCGGACCAAAAACCTGAAAACGTGAATGGACGAACTGCCCAGTTCCGATCTGCCAGACCAGGAACTGGTCAGCTCCGGACCAAGTCCGGAAAATATTGTTAGTCCGCCAGACCAAGGAGAAGAGGCTGAGGAATCCTGGTCCGACCCGGACCAGAAACTGGTCCGGCGGACCAGGCCTGTTTTGGACCAAAAATTGGTCCATTAAACCGATTTCGCGGGGACGACCGAATTCGGTCCGCCAGACCGAATTTCGGTCCAAACCGGACCAAACCTAAGAGGAAAGAGAAGACAAAAATGAACAAATTGAATGAATACGCGTGGTGAGACGTGAGAAATAAACACTGCGAGTGAATCGTTGTGTGCTTATTTTTGGGTAGCATTGCATGGCGTGAAACGGTAAGATGGTGTGAGGCCGAATACCGTGATACGCGTGATTGTAGCCCGGGGTTGATGATGCATGTTGTATGCTATGGTTGAAACTCACTCGTACATTACGAGAGGAGCGTGATTGTGATTGTGATATAGTCGCATGTGATGCGAGGCCAACGTCATGCGATGTGACGGGCGTGAGAGACGCTCCTAATCATGCGATGTGACTAGGGTTTATGGCTAACCCTATGGTGCGAAGCCATACGGGATTTGATTGTCGCGCGAAGCGACGGCCAACGTCATGAGATATGACGGGCGTGAGAGGCGCTCCTAGTCATGCGATGTGACTAGGGTTTATGGCTAACCCTATGGTGCGAAGCCATACGGGATTTGATTGTCGCGCGAAGCGATGGCCAACGTCTTGAGATGTGACGGGCGTGAGAGGCGCTCCTAGTCATGAGATGTGACTAGGGTTTATGGCTGACTCTATGGTGCGAAGCCATACCTACTTGATTGTCGTACGATGCGACGGCCAACGTCATGAGATGTGACGGGCGTGTGAGGCGCTCCTGGTCATGAGATGTGACCAGGGTTCACGGCTAACCCTATGGCGTGAAGCCATACGGAAATGAATATGATGATATTCTGATGTGATATGAGTATATATTTAATGTTGAATATTATATTTTATGTTTTATCGTTTTAACACCGTTCTCGATGAGAACGGGTTTACAGTGTTCAACCCGGGCTACTCACTAAGCGGTTGGGCTTAGCCCTCGTGGTTTCATCTTTTTCAGATCACGAGGAGTACGTGTAGCATATCTAGACGACGACGAAGACTTGAGAGAGGCAGCATCATGTACGGATTTGATTTGTGTTAATTTTTGAAAACGATGTTTTCATTTGCGTTGTATTTTAAGATTGGACGTGTGGTAATTAAAGGTTGTATTAAACTATTCCGCTGCGTGTTCATAAAATAAAAGTTTGAAAATTCCCGTATTTTTGTTTGGTATTATTTTGATGGTTTTAGTCCATGTAACACATCCTGTTTACGGGAATCGGGATACGGGTGTCACAGACCCAAGAGCGGATTGCCCGCAAAGTCGAAAGATATTCGTACCGATACCTGCAAGAGCTACTAGACTTAGCTTGCCAAATCGAGTACGAAAACCAACAAAATAGGCTAAGTAAGGCTCCAGTCCGAAGTAGTATTCCAACACCAACATCAAAGACTACAGATGGGTCAAAGCGAGGTATAGAACGATATACTTTTGCTGAGTTACAGGATCTTGTGCAAGACGTCATGCAGCTGGAACAACAAATGTACAAGAAGCAAGTGGAATCAAAGGATGACATAAACATACTTGTTGAAGCCCCCTCAAAAGAGAGTTTCACGGGAACCAAAGATGAGCACAAGATGAAGGAAGAAGAAGTTCAACAAGAGGAGGAAACACCAACTGTCCTACCAGGTAACGAATCCATCCCTTCTTGTATTACGTCTACTCATGAGATCGCATGTCAGGAGCACCGGGAACAAGGATATGAATATCTCGAACATCGAGAGATGACTATGGTAGAAGAGGAAAAACACGCATTCATAGTGGTGGATGAGAAGAACGAGTTCATACGTGGAGGCAAAATTCATGAAGTGGAGAATGGTATGGACAAGACTGTCCAAGATACCGAAGAGAACGTGGATGAAATGCCGAAGAAAATGTACTTGAAATGTCCAAGACGATATTGGAGAAAATCTGCAAGGACTACACAGTGCTTCCAATAACTGAATCTCCACATCTCGGAACAAGCGCCTAAGAACGTATGATCAAGATCAATGGGTATGAGGACTACATGGTACCCGATGCTACAAATAACCATACAAGTCTCATTGGCTATTCGCTAGGAGGCAATCCCGATAATTTCATTCCTCTTTATATTCTTGTTTATGATTCTTGTCTAAATGAAGTCATAGCCCGATTTGAGTCCGAAAAAGACGTTTTGCAATTGAAATGTTTTTTACCAACATCTCGGGAAGAACAATTGCTGCACTAACATATCTGCTGCCCTAGATTATGTCTTTGAGTTGCAGGTGTTCCAAACTCGGGAGGAGAACGTTTGCATGGAGAAAAAGATAGAAAACATGAGCCTCGCAAAGGATAAACCCTTCGAGCGGGGAAAGACTCGAAAGAAAGTGCTTGGAATTTTTGAAACACACCAAGACCAAGGTAAGTATGACATAACTTATGTTTTCACTAATGCTGACTTGGCCCCGTTTGATGTAGGAAAAACAGTTTCGAGGACGAAACCTCCAGAAGAGAGAGGGAATGATGAGGACCTCGGAATTCCAAGCGATACATCAAACTATATCTTGGAGATAAAGGAACGCATGGAGCTAATAATAGCTTGGAGCGGGAGCACGGAGCTAGGAGTTCAACGAAATATCTTGGAGCTTAAGCAACGCTTGGAATGCAAGGATCGCATGGATTGCTTGGAACGCAAGGAACGCACGGAGAAGTCCAATTCCGAGGAGATCAATGATATTTATAAGGCACAATGGGATTTCCAAAACTTGAGGGTTGCATTAAACCCGCTCCACCCAAAATCCGAGCCAAGACGCGCGTTTTTCAACAACGTTCCAACACGTTCATTTCCGACGCATTGAAGTAACTCTGTTTTGAAAGACCAAGCCCATGTTGGGTTCTCTACGGGTTCCTAGCATGCGATCAAATCGATC